GAATGCCCTTGTAACAGTCCAAACCCGCGCTTAGTAGATATTGTTCGTTTTGGCTCATACGTTCACTATCAGCCTCACAATTTTAAAACACGTCCTTTAGTGAGAGATATCTACACCCTTATAATGAATGTTTTGTTCCCTTTTCCAACCGATATGAAATCTCACAATCCACTCTTTTTGCGGGTCTAGTGTCCTTACTAGCACATTATTCAGTGTTTGGCTCTAATATCATTTTAGCCCACCGCTAGTAGACATTGTCTGTTTTGGTCCGATACATGTCGTCGTCGTCAGTCTCACCATTTTAGAACGTCTACTGTTTTGGGGCCAGCATCCTCCTGATATAGAACCTCACAATCCACTTCGTTGGGGCACAGCAAACTGGCGTATTTAATGTACACTAAATTGGTGTTCATCACTCAAAATGTTAGGTTTTACTAAACGCAACCGTATCCTTTTGTATCAGACCCCAAAAAACCAGCAGAACGCTACGTTATTGCCCATGCCGCTACGGTAAGATTGATGTTCAGGGAAGGCAAAAGGTGAACAGAGCATCTGCAAGGTCTGAAGCTATATCCGTATCTCACATCACCTCACACTTAACACCTTCATTTATTAATTTCTGGTTCGTAGAAACATCGATCCCATGAATCTCATCGAGTTCCGAAATCATCAAACTACTAAGCAAGCAAGCAGAACGTATTTCAGATAACACCAGGGGGCATTGCAGATGCAAAGGACATACGTCTCATATGACGTTGGAATATTAAATCGGGATAAATATCAAATCCCAGCTGTATTAAGATAATCCTAAATATGCAGTTGGCAAGCAGCAACTTTATTGCCATAAATCCAAAGCTACAGTTAAAGTAAAGTTTAAACCAGAATGTAACTCGGTTAAGCCAACAGGATTCATAAGATAGAAGTAGTTGTTAACTGCACGGACATGCCATTGGGGAAAGTAGTATAAACCTCAGTACCCATTTAGAAGGCACAATTGGTGGGATGGAAATATGGAAAGCAGCCGGAGGAAGGGTAAGGCAAAGTAAACAAAGCCTTGCCAAATCATGCACTCAGTAGTCTGTAGACCAGTTTGCAGCACTCCCAACTCTTGGCATACCAGAACTTTCCTTTCGAGCCTCTTCATCCACCTTGAAATCTGCTCCACAGACATGACCTGAACTGTCCACCCTTGGCACTGGCTTCACCTCATTAAGAGGATGCTCAAAACTTCTCAACCCACCCGAGGTTGTGAAGAAGCAACCTAGAATACCAAACATATTGCATAAAATGAACATTGATACCAGTACCTGTATTACTACCATTTTAAATGTCGATGATGGTTTAATTCCCCAACCCTCAACTATTGAACTAAACAAAATATACTCAATTTGAAAACATGCATTGCCGTGATAGAACAAGAGTGAGAAAGAACTGATGACTAGTACCCGTAACTCATTGTAACTACCATCCTAAATGTCGATGGTTCAATTCCCCAATCCTCAACTGTTGAACTAAACAAAATATACTCAATTTGGAAACATGCATTGACGTGATAGAACAAGAGTGAGCAAGAATTGATGACTAGTACCCGTAACTCAACTACCATTCTAAATGTCGATGGTTCATATCTCCAACTCTCAACTGTTGAACTAAACAAAATATACTCAATTTGGAAACATGCATTGTCGGGATAGAACAAGAGTGAGCAAGAATTAATGACCAGTACCAGTAACTCATTGTAACTACCATCCTAAATGTCAATGGTTCAACTGTTGAACTAAACAAAATATACTCAATTTGGAAACATGCATTGTCGATAGAACAAGAGTGAGCAAGAATTGATGACCAGTACCAGTAATTCATTGTAACTACCATCCTAAATGTCAATGGTTCAATTCCAACAACGGTTAAACTAAGAAAAATATACTCAATTTGAAAACATGCATTAACGTGATAACAAGAGTGAACAAGAGTGAGCAAGAACTGATAGTATGCAAGCTATATCAATTCACCAATTTTTAAATTTTTAAAAAATTAAAGAGCTCGTCAATTTCCCCCCTCACATTTGAAGACATAATGAATTCATTCCCATAAAAGGTTACCTGTGGGGAAAGGAGCAAAAGATTTTCCACACCCCTTCTTCATAATTTCTACATCATCCGAGAGAACAAGCTGTCCCTCAGAATCAGTTCCCCAGTGGAAGGGAACGCTCCCATCAGCATCCTGATGATAAAAAAACATAAAGGAAAAAACTAGATTAACAATAACAACAGAAATTTGCCGCAATCATGGTTAAACTAAGGTATCAAGGGAACTTACAGAAGCCAAAAATGCAGTTTTTGAGGAACTGTCATATAGGACGAACACAAATTTTCCTTGAATATCTCTCACGACTTGATCAGCTGGGTATGGACCCCGATCTCTTAATGTTCTATACGCTTCAATAACGATGCTAACCTCGTTTGCAGCTTTGTTCAAACCATACTGTTGCTTGAGCTGAGCAACATTCTCAATGTGCCCTTGGAACAAGCAGAAAATGTCGTCCACAACCGCAAATAATCTAATTTTATAAAAACAAATTTCATCATTTTCCAACAGCAGGCAAAACTAGCAAATGCTCGTATAAGAACGAAAATACAAGCAAAACAAGATTCAATACAGATCCCATAAAAATTAATAATGATTTATAAAGTGCAAAATAATATGGCCAAATTAAGAAACTCGTAATCTTGGTTGAGGATGAAAAACAAGATTAATCGTTTCAAATTAGATGAGCAAAGAGAGGACTGATAAAACTAAACACCGATCTCGAAAGATAACCTTCCATAAATTCGATCGAGTCAATATGAAAAAAGTTCGAGCAAAACGAAGACAAAAAAAAAAGACAACAATGGCCTTAATGAATACAAACATTTCTCAACCAAAACTCAACCACCACACAAATAGACGATACAATTTCATACCAAAAAGGAAAAAAAAAATCAAAATAAACAAAGAAAACTCTACTTTGTTAAATGTAAACAGATTCTCATCAACACAAAACGAAACACCCTATGGAAGACACCGCCGGGGTACAATAAGTTAACAAGAACAGTGATCAGATCCAGAAAAAAAAAAAAAAATCAAAAGAAGGCAGAGACGTATAATACAGCTTTCCCCAAAACATTGCAGAAAAAGATGAACGGTAATCGTAATACCTCGGGAGGAGAGGGTTTTGCTTTTCGACGGAATAGGCCAAGAGACCGGCGGATCCGAGATTGACGATGACAGAACCAGGGTACACGGAGCTAAAATGCCGGGCAAGAATTCCATCTTTGAGAGCCCAGACGGAATCGGATGCAGGGCTCCGCAGCGCCTCGGGACTTTTGGCCACCGATTTCTCGAAGACAGCGAGCATTTTGTAAATCGTTGATCGGAAAATGAGAAATGTTTCGTTTCTGAATGCACAGGGGACTAAAGATCGCTTGCAGTTAAGAGGACGAGGACCTGGAGTCCCTACATACTTCAAAATTAAAAATTAAGGTTAGACACAAATTTCCACAATTGCCCCTCTTCATTTCTCTAATAACTATTTAGGGCAAACCAGGCTTTTATTTTCTTAATTTTATTTAAAGTTTAAGAATAAATGTAAATATTTTAAAGGTTTGAAAGTTAAGTTCCTATTACAACTTTATTTTATTTTATTTTATTTTTAAGAGTTGAATGTTTATTTTATTTTATTTGAAGGGTTGTATTGTAATTTTGTTGAAAGGAAGGGGTCAAGTGGTAGTGAAGTATTGGGAGGACGGTAAAGTAGGTATGCCACGTGGAATCATATTGGCGGAATCTGAAGCTTATCCATTTCACGCCTACCACGTTCCGAATATTCGAGTAACTGTCAATTTTTGCTTTGTTTCCATTTTATTTTAACACACACATTCATATATGGAATTTATTAATTTTAATCAAATAAAATTTTATACAAAAATAAGTATGACCATGCACATCAATAATTTTTTCAAATTTTTTAAATTTCAACCAAATATTTAGCTTTATCCCATTTTTTCTTTCAAAACTTACCAAATTTATGTCCTACCATGTATGTATAATTTATTTACTTGAAATGAAAATTTATTAGAAAATTAAAATTGTAATTTTTTTAAAGTTTAAATAGTCGACCACATTTATTTAAGTTTAAAATACTATTGGGTGAAATTAAAATTTTAGAACTAGAATTTACAAAACCCGACAGGGTTAGGATTCAAATTAATTTTTTTTTTCAAAAGAATCAACCATATAAAACTTTATATTAAAATCCCATTTTAGGTTTCAAATATTTAAATTTGGTTATTATACTTTTAATAAATTTAGTTTACGGTTAATTTTTTAAAAAATTGTTTCTTTTAATCTTTATTTTCAATATTTTAGAAACATTTTAAAATTATATTTGTTTTGTTAGATAAATACTATTACTATTATTCTAGGATAGATTTAATTTGGAAGAACTCATTTTCTAATTAGTAAATAAGCTAAATTAGGAAGTACAGAGGACAGTCATTTTTTTTTAAATTATTATTATTTAAAATTTAAAAGTAATTATTAGTCAACTGAGTGGGAAATGTGAGGAATCAACACTTGGCTAGTACAGTTTCTACCACCGAATTCTGCTCTCTAACGAGCAACGTTAACGATAATTAATATCTAATCTACTAAACTATGATCAGATTGACCTCACAATGAGTATCAACATTCCCATAACAATTAATATCTAATCCACTCAACCATGATCAAATTGGCCTCACAATCAAGTACTATCAACGTTCACATGATAGTTTGTATCTAATCCACTAAACTATGACCTAATTGGCCTTACAATCGAGTATCAACCTTCACATGATAATTGATATCTAATCCACTAAACTACGATCAAATTGGCCTCACAATCTAGTATCAACGTTCACATGATAATTGGTATCTAATCCAATAAACTATAATCAACTTGGCCTCATAATCATAATACATGATTCAGTAAGCAGTGGTGTATTGATGTAGTTTGTAGCGTATATAAAAAATTGAACTTTTTGATAACAAGGCAGGCAAAGAATGAGGAAGGGTATTTGGAGCCCACATACATCCTTTTTGAAGCATAATAGGGTAAATAAATAGGCTTTCCCTAGCTTCAACAAGATGCTAATACGTGAACCCCCAGCTTACAACTATGAACTGTAAGCACAATCAAAAGTGATTATACAACAAATGATAGACTATAATATAATTCATTCCTGAGGTTTTCCTAAAAGCTAAGAAAGGGGCAACGATGTTATGTTACCACTAGGATCGATGGATGGATGGATGGATGCTCAGACCCGGTTATATGCAACCGACTTGCTGAAGAGGCGACGAATGTAAACGACCTGAAGCCCGCTTGCAACAGCGAGCAACAAATACTCTCCCACTGTGTAGAAAATTACACGCTTTCTTGTACTCTCATTAGCTGCATTCACAACAACCAAAGGTAGCAAAGACAATAAGAATCCTATAACAATTGCCAAATCAGTCTGGATTTCAACTTAAAAATTGATGGGTTGGGATAAACTTCTTGTCTACATCGATATTAGACTGGAAACAAAAAAGAATCTAATTTCTACGTAGTTTCATGAGATACAATGCTGGTGGATAATATTCAAGTCTATGCTACTAATTATTGTTCAGCTTGTGGTTTCAACGCTTGATCCTATATGCATTATTAAAAGATTGATGCTTAAGCTATCGTGTGTTGCAATCCCACACATAGACATCAAGATCAGATCATAATCATGATAGTTATGTCGGACCACTAGAGAAGAAAAGACATTCATCTTGTGTCACAAAGTTAGAAATCGCGTTCGCTTGACATCTTGGTGGTGTCACACCTATGACCAATTCCCTTTGGGAGGGGGTTCTCTCTTCCCCCTGCACCTGAGCTGTATTTCTTCGTTTATGATTAACTTATATGTTTCTTATATATATATAAACCATGCAAAAAATAAACCACATACTGTGACGGTGGCGTGCATCACGTGCTTTCAAGTATTTCTGCTCGGCGGTGACCGATTCCAATGCCTCTCTAAGCTCTGCAATTTTAACATTTACAGGGTCTAGGTGTTCTGCAAGAAATTACCACAACAAGGTGAAAAATGAGAGAAGTGTCAACTTCATAAAAGCAACCAAGTCCTCTAAGCACAAAAGTGAAATACCATCTTTAGCAAGGTCATGTTCGTTTGGAATGTGACCAACATGGATGTAGAAAGAAACTGTCTCGGTGGTCGAGTAGGGATTACGAAAACAGAATCTGTACATTCCACTGCGAGAAGCCTTAAACTCAAACTTGCCACCAGATGTCTCCTTCAACGAGTGCACCACATTACCTGCGGGAGATGTAACCTGCACAAAACCAACCCACGTTAGGATATCTTCAAAACAACATTTCATTATGGATACAAAAATCCTTCAAGAGATTCCAGGTACCCTAATATCCAGTCGATGATGACCAAAGAAATAACAATTTCACAACACCATTTGGGTGTCAGGTGGCTATGCCCGAAGGATTATAAATGTGAAACTAATGATCATAAACAGTGTAACAACAGATCATTTCGAAGCTCACAAGAAATGTACTACAATTATCAATCTAAAGTATCATCACAATTACAAACAAACAAGCCCCATACGTCCATATTAACAAAAGGGCAAAAAATTCCAGGTTCTTTAATAACTCAAAATCAACGAACAACATTTACCCTTCTTTCCTAAACCAATTTCACAACAGAGAAAAGAAGATTGCGCAGCAAAATTGGAAATAAAAAACCGAACTCTACCACACATTCCCCCAATCCAAGATCCAATCGTAATCAGGATCAATCTACAAATCGGCAGAAACGACACGCATTGTCATGCAAACATGAATTAAAAACCAGATTAATGATGGAAACAATGTGGCTTACAGTGAAATCAATGCCGGGATGATCGGCGCCCCAGAAAATTTCATGATCGACGACGACAAAATTCCCAGAAACGGTGTCGCCTTCGTACAATACATATTCATGGATGCATTCAACCTCGTTCACTGTGACCGAAAGCGAATCGATTCTGGCGATTAAGCTCGCCAGAAGAAAACCCGCCAACAGATATCCGAATCCCCGCTCTCTCGGTGTCCTCTCCATTTTCTCCCCCTTTCGCTTTTCGTCTTTTTAGAACTTTTGGTCGGAAATTTAAGAATGGTTAGGCAGCGCTCACAACCGTTCAATTTGTGAAGTAGCCCTTGTTTTCTGAAAACTAGCCTCTTTAGTTTCTCAAAACATGTTTTTTCATTAATATTGAAAAATAACCTGCCGATTTAATAACGGATTCCTTAAATTCCTTTTTTATCCTTCAAGTTCAGAATTATTCTATTTTTGTATATTTTTTTATTCTATTTTAATTTCTAAATTTTAAATACTCATTTTAACTTCTGAACTAAATAATAATAATACGTATATTTTTTATTATTTATGATGGATGGTGACAAAATATATATATCATTTTAGATATATTAATTATATTAGTGGTATATTTCATATTATGTCCATTATTATAATTAAGAAATAACAAGAGAAAATAGAAAAAAAAATTAAAAAATTTTCCATATATATTTACAAAATAGAAAAGAAAAATGCTAGATATAAAATTTAATTAATTGAATAATTTTTTAATTTGGATTTATTATTGACAAAAGTGAGAGTTATTCATTAAATATTTTTAAAATTATGTAAATTAGAAGTGGAAAAATAAAAATTTATAAAATTGATAGATATTGTACACAAATTTTAAATTTTTTTATATGGTTATTTATTTGAAGAAAAAAAAACCCCTAAATTACTCTTCTTCCATTGATCTGGAAACTTCCTCCAACCATTTCAACCACACGGTACAAAAGTTTGCTTTGTTCCTCATGGGAAGCCACGTCATCCTCATTTCATGTGTGGACAAACCAACCCACGTGGCGCTCTTATTTGGCAGTAAATTGAAAATGCTGACGTGGAGTTTAAATATCCACCACTCTCCGCCCCATCCTCCGCTATATAAACCCCGCCGAGGTTCACCGTATGATCATCACTACCAGTTCACTGATCGACAAGCAACAACTCTCCATAGCCAGTTTCATCATACTCTGTTATCGTTCTATACCTCAGGACATAGCTTAATGGCTGCCTCAGCTGTAATGCAATCCATTCTGGCGAGTTCGGCTAGTCGAAATGCTTGTAGGACACCGGCGAATCGGCTTCTCCCGGCGGCGGTTCGGCCGTTCTCCCGGAGAGCGGCTAACTTCCGAGTGCGATGTACGGCGGAGGTACTCGCTTGGCTATTTCCGTTTTCTTGGTGACTAAATGTACTTCTATTCTGCTATTGAAGTTTCCAAGGCTACAATCGTGGAGTGATCTGTTGTATTGTTTTGATTTACAGGAGGATCAGAGAGAGCCAGCGACTCCTTCATCGGTTTCACTGCCGTCTCCACAACCAGGGCCATCTCCCACGCCATCGCCGAAGGTAATTAAACCTGCAACATCTACAAGCAGTTCTCGATTAAACGCCTGAAATGTAATAGATGGTAGGTGAATATTTATAGCCATTACATAGTTAATTTGAGATCTGGTAATCTCCGCAGATGAGTACGAAGTTAACAGACATTTTGGCGTTCAGCGGGCCAGCGCCGGAGAGGATCAACGGGCGGCTTGCGATGGTAGGGTTCGTAGCTGCCCTAGCGGTTGAAGCAGCGAAAGGACAGGACGTGTTGGAGCAGATAGGGAACGGGGGAATCCCGTGGTTTGTGGGAACAAGCGCGATTCTGACACTGGCGTCGCTGATTCCCTTTATTAGAGGAGTGAGTGTGGAGTCTAACTCGAAGGGGTTTATGACTTCCAAGGCGGAGCTGTGGAATGGGAGGTTTGCGATGTTGGGCCTTCTTGCTTTGGCCTTCACCGAGTATGTCACGGGTGGAAGCCTCGTGTAAGTTTTAGTTGGGAGCTTTTGGTTAGTTGGGAGCTTAAGTTTTAGTTGGGAGCTTTTGGCGATGTCTGAGTATTAATGCAAAATCATATCCGATCAAAGGAAATTATGTAAATATTTCTAAATAATCAATCTAAAAGTTTCAAAATTTCGGCACATTTGCTATTAATAATGTAAATTTCCTTTAATTTCTACACTACTAATAAGATATTAATTATTTTTACACTACTAATAAGATTAATCTAAATAATTAATTATCTTTATTATATCTTTATTAAGGTACGGAAAGAAATGGGGTGACCATGTTCACAAAAACAACATGAAATTAATTATCTTTATTATATCTTTATTAAAGTACGGAAAGAAATGGGGTGACCATGTTCACAAAAACAACATGAAACACAATCAAATATTAATTAGGGTGACAAATTATTCGTACTACTCTGACCCTCTCCATAGAAATTTCAATAAGAATAAACCAATATCCATAGAAATTAAACCAATATTAATTAGAGGAAAATGACAATATAATAGTTCATCCACAACCATCCATACCATATAACCATTATTAATTGGAAGAAAATGACAATATAATAGTTATCCACAACCATCCATACCCTATAACCATGTTAACTGTGATATGTTTTTCTTATTCTTCGTTACCTTTTGGAGTTCATGATTTTTTTTTTTTTTTTTTTTTACTTCCAAGGTGTCATATTTATCACGTGGTTTTTTTTCCACCTACAAGATAATCAAAAAGATTAGAACGATTTAGAATTACTATAAAAAAATCATTAGAAAAAATATAAATAATAAATAATAAATAAATAAGGCCTGACCCGACCCTAAATAGCATCGGATCAGTCGGTTCTGTAACCATACTTGGTCGGGTTGGATTGGCTTTGCTGAAAATCCGACTCGAGCCAACCGGTTTTCACACCTATTTTCATCTATATACATATTCACCTTAAATTATCCACGTCTCTACCGAGGATAGCAGGTATTGTCATACTTTTAACATCTGGCTAAGGATCGATGTAGATCGCCAACTTCTGAGCCTCACCATCTGGTTGCTTATCATCTACCGTTGTGTCTTCATCCACTTCTTTCTGTGATATTAAGTGTGCAAGTATACAATTCAATACTTAAATCTCACATTAGTAGATTTCGCTGTGAATTAAATTGTAGGCATATTTCCATTTTGTTCATCTTCGTTTTTCCCTTTATTGTTTTGGTAGCTCAGTTTTAAACATGTTGAAAGTTCAGCTAAACTTGGCTAAAATTTACACAGGCAGAAAGCAAAACAGGCAAATTTTCAAAAAAGAGAAGGAAGAAAAGTTAATTATATATAGCTGAAGACACTTACTTCAGAAGGAAGATTGGCCGGAAACAAATTTATGACTCCAGCATTGAAGTTGAATCCACTGAAAAAGTTGGATATAGAGAAGAGAACCCAAAGATTAGCTACATGTACTAGATCGAAGAAAAGCGAGGAAATAAAAGAAAATCTGATGAATAAGAGAACTGATATGTTCACTTAATAAATTTAACAAGTTGATACGATAACAACATGAAATGTTTCCCAAGAGGATTCAAAGCTCCACAAAAATAAAACAACTACTAAAATGAATTTATAAGCAGAAAATAAATTTTAAAATCTGGCTACATGGGAATTTCATGAATTATGATGTGGGACAACCGACTCTGTTTTGATTTCTCAAATATATAGATTTTTCCAAGAAGGAGGATGAAGGAAAGATACCAGGTTGATAGTACAAGCTGCCACACATATGGAATGAAGAACTCTTCGGGATGACTCTCTTGCTCATACGTGAAACGTAATTGAGTAAACATCTACAATAATGTAAACTCATATAGAAGATCAAAGCAGTAAGGAAAGTGATCTTCAAAAATCATTTGTGAAACTTGGAAGAGGCTATTCAGCTAAACATTGGGTTTCTTCTCACCTTCAATCCTTCCCCACGCCATGATCTGCAGTTATTAATGATAACCTGCAGCACTTTCTCTACTGACCAATCACCATCCATTCTTTGAGCATCTATGCGGCTATTGAAGAAATCTAATACCTACACCATTTTAACAAGTAAATAAGTCCTGCAACTGACGGACAAAGCCTAACAAGTAGTAAGTCAAATTGAAATATAAACAGGGATGGGGGAGAAAATAAAATAAAATTGTAACAAATTCTAAAGCATAGTCCCTGTGGGGCTTCCGATAAAATATTCAGAAGCATACAGTGTAAATGTTCTCAAGAAGTTCATTAAATCGCGGGTGATTCTTGAATGGTTGAAATACTTCCTGCCTGTGCATTATTGCATATATAAACTGCGGAAGTGTACAGATTCCATAACAAAAGAGGTGAGTTAATAAGAATAAAGCTAAATACACAACCAATTATTTAATCTTCCATCAGCTTCTATGATGTTACCTCTGGATTCCGTGGTAGAGCATAAGACAGAGTAGCATTCAGAATTTCAAGGACAAGTCTCAAGAAGTCGGTATAAATATGTATCTCAGTGGGCTACAACAAAAAAAATCTACCTCAGTAACACATGAAATATTGTGAAACCATCCATAGAATCCAAATACGAATTTGGTTATGACCCTACAAATCATTAATGAATTACCGCATCATCTGCTGGGAAATTGATTTCTGTGAAGTCGGTTTTAGCATTGTCTACCTTAATGTTTTTGAGTTCTGCCGATCTGTTATACCTACACCCAAAGTTACGGCAGGAACGCAGCTCATAAGACTAACTATAATACAAGAGTCGTCCCATGAGAATAGGTGTCCATAAGTTGGTCATGACACAAAAAAAAATCTTATAAGAGTTCATCCATTTAAATAAGAAAAATTAAAGTGGAAGCCATCTCATCTCTGATTAAAAGGGAATTGTGTATGGTGCCATGGAAAAGAATTATAAGGGCAAAATCAGCCAACAGAAGGAATTAATGACATACTTTCTTGAAAGCATATCAAAAAGGCTGACAAGCCTCTGAGATGCATATGAACTCAAACGGTGGACATGAGGAGCCATGTTTGCTAATGTCGCAAGACAAGTTGTATGGAGATATACATCCTGTAAAAAAGTTACCATATACGTCACATAATTTATGTGTATGTACTAAGAAAATGAGAAGAAGTAGATGAAGAAGAAGACAGGGAACAGATTCCAGGAATAGTTTGTTGAAATATTGCGCGCAAGTAGGTTATACAACATACTACGTGCTTAAATATAAACCCATGGTATTTGTCACTCCACAAGCATTCAACATATTTTTTTTAATTTTATCCCAAGCATTTAAGACTTCGGAATTAGATAAAAAGGGCATGTGAAAACGATATCATCTGTACATGGAACCACACAGAACGTTTGTTGTAATTACTACAATCATACTTTAATCAGATGGGCTTGTCAAGTCATACCCGCAACTTAGATAGGTTGAACTGTACGGTCCTGATCAAGATTATTACCACCAGAGAACCAAGAGATGTTTGATGAAGAAGACGCTCCTTATACCAAGGAACCGTAGGAAGTATCTGTACATGTAGTAATAAAAATTAAGAGAACCTCATATAAGCAAGAAACCATGCAAGAGGGTATATCAGCCTTACCAGTTTGTGAATGCTTGCATTGAATGAAGAATCCTGACTAAGAATTAAAAGTATAATCAGCAGCATGTAGATTTGATTAGATGACCTCGTTGAAGCATTATAGAGTGCCTCCAAAATTGGCATCAACTGTTTATAGATTATCAAACAGAAGACAAAGTATGAAAAAGTCGTTACATAACTGCATGAAGTGGATATGGAGTCATTATACAATCTTAACACCGCAACAATATTTTGAATAAAGTCACAAACAGAAATGACTAATCCAAATGAATCCCCATCAATCGATCGAAGAATAATTTTAGTTAAAACATCACACTAGCCAAAGCGTTGCACTTGATTAATATGCATGTATGATGTACCCCAAGATATTGGAATTCGCACTCCAGCAACTTACCAATGTGTCCAAATCAGTTCGCACCAAAACATATTCCAAGAAATCAGAATTCCCTTGCAATAATGAGTAGAGCAGAAGCACAGAGCCCTCGTCGGCCAAGCACCTGCAGATACATATCCTATTAAGGGCTCAAAGCAAAAGGTAGTCTCATGTCATCAGCCTTTGCGCCGAAAAATAGTATATCGATGCAAACATGCAAAGTATGCACGTATTCTAACTTAACCAGGTACTACAGCACAGTAAATGATCTATGATCTGGGCAATATAATTAATCCATACACAAAGCAACAAGAAACTGCAAGATTTTTCACTAAACTGAAATATAGTTCACCAAAATAATGGGTAGCGCCCTGAATGCATAACACGTGGATTTTAAACATTATAATCAACGTTTGTTCAAGAAGAAAGAAAATACATACATTCCAAGAGTATCAAACAGCAAAGCAAATGGTAACCGCACAAAGGGACCATTATGTGCATTACCATCTGAATCAACACGATCAACTGCAACCACAAGCACAATAAACCAGCATCAAACGTGCATAAACTGGCTAAACCGTGAGAAGGAAATAGCAACGTAGAAAAGAAAACTTAATATCTTACATTCAACATCAGATGCACTTTCTAAGGCCTTGCAATACGGATTATCATAAAAGGTTGCATTCTCTTTCAAAAGAGAATCTAAGCTAACATTATCACCACTTGCTAGAGATTCATTGCTAACAATACACTTGCGATAATGAATGAGAATGAGAAGAACGTTTAGACTGCAATCAGCCAATGGACTCTCAGAGCCTTGGGAAGTTGAACTGACAAGGTAGTTGAATGGCATTAACACAAAATTTGCTGTAGAAAGGGAAACGTGTTAGCAGAGGTTTATATCAGCAACAGGAGCTTCAAACTGTCTCCCACACTCAACAATCACATTCACAACTAAAAATACAATAAACCACATGCCAAACCAGATAAAGAGGCTTAGTTTCTTTCTGTGAATGAAAGAATAAAAAAACTCGTCTACTAAAGAGTTGGGACAACAAAATGACATGGGCATATGGATGTTAGAAACTTAATTCAAGAAAAAACAAGAGAAACACTAGACATAGCAATGTGATAGAGTCAATTAAACC